GACTTGGCCACTTCCAAGTCTTCAGTACCAAGTGCCTATAAGAACTTCTCTTCCTGATACATTACCCAGAATTCTATTAAAGCAATAGAAATTAGACTTAGACACAGATTTGAAAAATTCCATATACTTGTACATCACACACACAGCTCTACCTCCCAGTCACATGGCCAAGTGCTTTCACATCTATTCATTCTCTTACTCAGTGATCCTTAGATATAGCATCTTGGTATCTTGAGAATTATAAGTTCTCCAAAAATCAACACTGTACATTCTATCCAAGTCAGAGCTTTCCCCAAACTTGAAAAGGAATAGAAAATAGTGTCCTTGCTCTGTTGTTAAAGTTCAAACACCCAATTCAATAACTTATAATTATGTAAGAAAATGCAAAAGCAAGTGTCATGTATAAAATAGTTTATTACCATAATAAATAAAATTAAACTTTTTTGTTACAAATATCATTTGTGCTTGTTTAAAAATGTTGAGATTCACCAATGGGGGGGCCCACGTGTTCCTCTTTATGTTCCCAAGCCACAGACATACAGTGGAAGTTCCTGGCAGCATCCTTGGCTGACCACAAAAATAGTATCAGCTCATTTGCATTTCTGTTTATTCATGCTCATTTTTGGACAAAATGACAGATGCAAAGGAAAAAGGAAAAATAACCCAATAGAGGATTTGGCAGGACTCAATGGAAAGAACGCTAGTATAAGGAGAAGCCTCAGAATGATGAACCGCTCATGAGAAGTGTCCTTGTAATGAGATGGTACATGTGGACAGTCTCCAATGATGCACAAATACAGTGTCTGAATATTAAGAGAATACATTCACTGGGGATGGGGATTGCTCCTTAACACACAAGCAGTTCATCTCCTGAAACAAGAGCTGTGAACTTCTTCTTAAACAACTAATGGATCTGTTGGCTGACTCAGAAGTCTCACACACACACACACACACACACACACACACACACACACACACACACACAATGGCTCTAAGAAAAATTGAATGGCAGGTGGAGGGGACACCTACCAGGTGTGGCACCCGCAGGGTCTTCAAGTCCAGTTTTAGAGGCTCCAATTGAAGTCTGATACGTTTCACGTGACAATAAAGTTTCACTTGAAATCAATTTAAGCAGGTTAATTCACATTGATTCTTTTGAACAATGGGAAGCAGAAAGGAGAACTTCTCAACTCCAACTCCTTTGGAGAGAAAATGGAGGCTTCCTCTTCTCAGTCAGTGCTCAAAGGACAGTGACGGCTCCTCCACTAGAGGGCACAGGAGCAAGTGGGAAGGTAGAAGTATAGGGAACAATGGCAATCACTGAGTGACAGAAGAGAGCTTGTCCAGGGGCTGGGACAGGCCCTCAGCAGGCCTCTTCTTTAAGCAACATGAGGTGAGGAGAGAAGAAGGGGCATTGGTAGTTCCATCACAGCTGGAGTTCCATTCAAGGGTCTTAAGGCTAAACGTCTTTATTGCAAAACAGTACAATCTATTAAACAAGTGCGCATGAGCAACTTGGATCTCCTCCAGGACTTCTAATGGCCCAGAGTGTGCGCATGAGATGTGATGGTCAGTGCAACAGAGGAAGTGAGGATCTTCCTCCAATTAGAATCCCTACCCCATGGTATCAGACAAGCCTGGCAGTTGGCCTAATACTTTCACCTTCCACCTGAGGATCTGGAAGATGAAGCCTGCTGCGTGGGGTAGGAAGGTACCAGGAGTGTATCTTACCCCTTCTCCAGCTATCCCCACTTTTGAAAGAGGAGAGAACCAGGAAAGAAGGGGCTGATTTATGGCCAAAGCAGCACAAAGGCTCCAAGAAGAGAAAAAAGACCCCAGGAATCAGATCACAGGAAATCAAAAGGAGAAAGGCATTTCCAAAAGCTTAGGGAAGACTTTTGAAATAGGCAGAACTCTTGAACACCTGGCCGTGCTGCAGTGTTAATGCAATTAAGTTGCATTAATTATGTTCTAGACCAGAGTTTCTCAGCCATCTCCCTTTCCTCCTTTGGTCAATGCTTTGCGCCCAGTGGAGGAGCTCTCTGTGGGTATTCAGGACCACCGGGCACATTGCTGGAGCCATGCCCCCGCCCCCCCACCAAACACACCATCATGTTGGCCATCTTGTTCCTTAGATGCAGCCCTCCCGTCCAGTCCATACCTCCCCTCAGTAGGAGAGAGCATGTCCAACAAGCAGCCAAGCGACATGGGCGGGACCACTTCAAAGCAGCCTGTCAGCAATGATGCTGGGAAATGGAGCTTTCCTTAGGGATGACATTCAAAGGAAGGAGTAAAAAAGACTCAGTAACTAGTACTCACCAGACGAATGGAAAATGGTACAACAAATCTTTCAGCATAATTTTGCTGATCTAATGGTTTGATCTAATACCTAGCAACTGTTTCCCACCTCTCTTTTTGTCTACCAGATCACAGTAGTTAGTGGAAGGTGCAGATCAGAAATACTTGAAGCGTTGGGTCCCAGAAAGCATAGAGAGTTTGCTTGAAGCAACCTGCAGCCAGGTGCACACCATAAAAAGAAAAGGAGAAACAGATTGGCTCATTTAAAAATGGTGTTTTTTTTCCCTCCTTCTTCAGGAAAACAATATAACAAAAACTCCTTAAAGTCTACAGATGGAGAGGAACAAAAGCCACACTCCTGGCGCTGTTAACTGTCCCCTGCAGAAACTCATGAGTCATGCAACACTGAGCTGAGAGGGTTTCCCCCTGCAGGGTCTGGCTTTGTAGTCATTGGTTCCATTTGCATTGGCCCTGGAACTCATTCCAGAAGCTTTCTCCCCCCCCCCCCCCCCCAATAAGGCTGGACTTCTGAGCCTCTCCAGCCTCTCAGTCCGGCAGATCTAGATGCAGTGAGATTTCTCAATAGAGAAGACGCTACCTGTCTCAGAGGTGGCTTCCTACAGCAGAACCTCCCCACACTGGTTGGTGAGGCGCCAGATGAGGCACAGGAGAGGCAATGAGAAGTCTCTAAGGGTGTGTGATTCTGAAGCTGGGTGTCAGGGTAACAAGGGATCTCGCGTTGCCTTAGGATTAATAGGTTCTAAAATTTAAAAGCAGGTTAATAAGTATGTTTGAGGGCCTGGAATGTGTAGAAGGTTGCTAGGAGTTCAGATATTGTACAGTCTCTCCATCAAGGATCAAGGGGCAGCTGCTCAAATTCAAGAAGCCAAAAGCCTCCCAGCTTCATCCAGATTCACAAACAAGCATGCTTTAGCCCTAAGTGGCCATAGGAAGCGAAATCTGACAATGTCATAGGCTAGAGTGTGTAGGGCTAGGTCTGTAGGCCTCACAACTGTGTATGCCCTTGACCTTCCAGGGCCTTCTGTGTCAATACCACACAGACAGCCAAGGCTAAGTCCTGGGAAGCATCACAGCCACTGAGCGGGACTAAAAGGGGGTTGGAGGAAGATAGGCTTTCTGAACACTGAAGATCTTTGGTAAGATAAGGCTCTACAGCAGCAAAGCAATGCCAGGCAGAGGTGCCCATGATAGAGTTTCCACAGAGTGACCTGAAGAAGTCCACGCTACCATCTGTGTGTCCGTCCTTGCCACAGGTGTGCTTTGGGGCTCTCTCCACTTTCTTTTCTCTGGTATCATTGAAAGCAGCTCAAGCTCCTCCCTCACCTGATCTCAGGTGGCTTAAGAGATGTCTCTGAGTATCACGGGGTAGCAAATTACATGGCGACTAGGCAACTCTGTGCCCATGGCTGCTCTATGGACCACAAGTTCTAACAGCCAACTCTCCCTATCTCTTTACTGGGACAGCTGAAAACCACTTCTCCGTTCTTTTTCCAGCTCCTGAAGAGAGTACAGTCATTGCCCTGCCATCTTTCTTTTTAAAAATAGGAAATAGAGGGTTTCAAGTAAGGCCTAACAGAGTTCCCAAGTATCTTCTACTGATCCCATGCTGTGGACAAAAATCCCCATGAGAATCAAAATAAAAACATAGCACTTGCTACAATCATTTTCTGAGGTTGTATTGTGTGTGTGTGTGTGTGTGTGTGTGTGTGTGTGTGTGTGTGTGTGTGTGTGTGTGTGTGTAGTAAGCAACTCTGGGTACCTGCCCCTTCCTGCCGATGCTTCACACCCTGAGGAATGCCACAGGAACACTTGGGAGGAGGTCCAGAAGGAAAAGAAGCAAAGCAGCTTGGGCTATGAAGCCTACAGCATAGAAAAAGGCCTGAGGGTCACTCGGGGCGTCTGAAGCCCCTATCAGAGTAGCCTGCAGACCACACAACAGAGAATGCCTGGAGCCAAAGGTTTGTCTCTAGCCTCACTCATCTTTTCTGGGCAAGGAAACCCAAGGAAACTGGCTGTGTGTCTGTGGGAGGCTCTTATAGTGCCAGCTGTTCAGCCTCAGCCATCAGAGACAGAAAGTGGAAAGGTTCTACTCTTCCTGTCCTTCAAGCTCTCCTTGTCTGAGCTTCTTACAAATGATGACGGTAGGAAAGATGGTGATGGCAGATGCTGGCTGTACAGGGCTGGGCATGTGGGGAAATCCCTGTGCCCACTGCTTGTCTTTGGAGAGTTGGGTGAAGGAGGCCAGGAGGAGTCCTTGGCTCTCTTCTACCAGTCCCACATGGATGCTCCTCTTTTCCGGTAGTTTTCATCTTTTATAAATACTATGGTAGTAAAAAATATTTAAAATGAAGGAAAAGACCTTTTAGACAGCAAGCCCCTTCTTCCAGAATTGTGCAAAGACTGTTCAAATGCAGCTGCCATCCTGCAATGTGTAGCACACATCGCTGCCCCTATCTTTTTTTTTTCCAGAGAGAGAGTGAGAGGTGAGGGGCCATTGAGCACACCTAAGCCATTTGGACCCCACTTGGAATTCTCTGTCCAGAAAAGCCTACTTGAAAAACTGTTGGGCATGTGGGCATGTGTGGAGGCGGTGGTGTCCGGGCCAGGGGTGCAGACATTTTGTCTTTGAACTTCTTCTTTATGGTTGTTGTTGGTTCTGTTTGTTTTGTTTTTCTTACACACCTCTCAGCTGGCTCCAAAAATGTCTCTCTCTGATTCTGGGGATTGGGGCCTTGATATTTCAAACAGCTCCTGGGGAGACTGCGAGGACCTTCGGGAAGTTAATATCCTGAGAATCTCGGAAAGCTGTTTCTCGATATGGGTCATTTTGGCGTTCAAAGCCTTGATGTCCTCCTTCAGCTCGTGCTTCACCTCCAGGACCGTGGCCTGCAGGGTCTGCTCGGGGATGGGGTAGAAGGAGTGTTTGACCTCTGCCAGGATGGGACTCCTGTCCTGGGGGCTCCGGGCCTCGCCCGCGTTGTCCAGCCGGAGGTCGCTCTTGGTGATGCCGCTGTCGCACGAGTCTGTCTTCTTCAGCGTGGCCTCGCCGGACGCCTTGGTCCTCTCGGGGAGGGTCTCCATCGACTCGGCCTTGGACACCTTGTTCCAGTCCTCGCCCTTCCCACACGTGTCCCTGAAGCGGGCCCAGCCCTTGCGCTTGGCACAGTCCCCCGCGCTGCCCCGCGGGGCCAGGCACTCGGAGCCGGGCGCCTGCAGCTTGGCGTGGTCTGCCCCGCCCGACGACGTGGAGGCCGGCTGCAGGGACACGGGCGTGGCGGGGCTCTCGCGCACCGTGACCACGCTGGCCTTGACCAGCGTGTGATTGGCCGGGGCGGGCTCCGCGAGGGCATTGCCCTTCTCCACGTCCAGGTCATCGAGATCCCGACCCCCTCTCTCGGCCGCCAGCCTGGCCTCCTTCTGCTGGCGAAAGCGCTGGAAGAGTCGTCGGACGGGGTGATCCGGGGGCAAAATCAGGGGGGCCTCGTTCTTGCGTTTCATGCGCTCTTCCTCTTCCCGTTTCACGTCGCTGATCTTCCGGAACACGATCTGCAGGGAGACAGACAGACACACGGCGTTCACTGGGGGGTGGGGTGGGGTGGGGTGGTGGGGGGTGGCTGCAGGGACAGCTCAGCCCCTGTACGACATCTCTGCCCAGCTCCCGGGCCATCTCCTAAGGCCTCCGTGGCCTACCTGGTAGCCGACAGCCCTTTCCCTTTCTTCAGGCCAGTTTCCTAGCTCTCCAAAAGTGGGGAGACTGATGCGCATTGTCTCCCCCTTCTTTAGGAGGAACAAACTCTGTCCCCACAAGCTGGAGACTTCAAGTAGCATCCTCGAAGCTCTTGCTGTCCTGACTCTGAGCCTGGGCCTCTCTTAAGCTTGTTCTTCCCTACAATTCAGAATCACCTGATAAACTTTATTAAAAAATCACTTTCCTGTTCCCACTTCGGACCTACTTCATTGACTTTCCAGAGGGGAGTAACTGAATCTGTACCTAAAACATTCTGCAGGATTCTGATGCACAGACTTTGAACATTTCCAGCCCAAACCACTCCCCAGGGAAAGAAAGCTCATCTGAGTTCCCAGAGAGGGGATATAGCAAAAAGGCTTCTATTCTATTCCATCTATAGATCTATACCCAAGTCAGTCTGGTTGCCTGTGAGAAGTGAAAGTCTCAGACAGAAGCTCTCCTTTCTTTGGGTATCATAGAGTAGAACAAAGATCCATGAGTTTAAACAGAAGCTTGTCTTAATAATTTCCAACACTTAGGCAGTGTATGGCAGTTCCTAAGGTACTTTAATGTTATTTCTGTTTTACATTTTTAAAAAAAATTTAAAATTTTATTGTAAAGGTGATGTTCAGAGGGGTTACAATTACATGAGTCAGGTAATGAGTACATTTCCTTTTGAACAGTGTCATTCCTCCCTCATTTTCTTCTTTCTTTTTTTGGGGGGGTCCGGTCATGAGGCCTGAACTCTGGGCTTGGGCGCTGTCCCTCAGCTCTTCAGCCCAAGGCTAGCGTTCTACCACTTGAGCCACAGCACCACTTCCAGCTTTTTTCTTTTTGCTTATGTGGTGCTGAGGAATCAAACCCAGGGCCTCATCATGCAAGGCAAGCGCTCTACCACTGAGCCATCTTCCCAGCATTCTGACTCCCTCATTTTCTTGTAATGTTATTTCATGAATTCCGTATTGCAAGGCCATTGGAATATATATTATTCCCATTTAGGTGTGACCAAACTACGGCTTGGAGTGGCTGAACATCACATAAACAGATAAGTTGCCTATCAGGAACTTGTATCCAAGCTACGAAATCCAAAATCCACGAGATAACCCATAGGTTAATCATTGATAAGGACAATACTTCATGCAGAATGGTCAGGAAGAGAATACAGGGCTTTCTTCTAGGCTAGAATCCATCTAATCATTGGGAAGCTTTGTAATTTCTGGTTCATATTACATGTGGCAGGTAGATGCTAGGACATGTTTTTATCCATATGTTATCTGACTTCATAGAAAGCAACCTACAAGGGATTATCTTTTTTTATGAAATTGCTGAAGACCAACATTGTCAAGGTCATTAAGATGAGAAAAGGTCACAGGTAAAGGATGAAACACCTTCTCTATCATTCCAATCTAAAACTTTATGCTGTGTGTACACAACTCCCAAACCAACCCAAGTCCTGCCATAAGGTTTGGCAGGGGTTCACAGTCTTGGTGAGTCATACATGGTAGTAGCATACCAAAAACATGACCTGGCAGAACTACTCAAGTCCCAACTCCAACTTCTAGTCATGTGATGTCAAGCAGGTATTTTTAACTTGAGAGTCTCACCAAAACTAGGGACAATCTCTACATTTCAGACCTGAGGTAAAGCTAACACAGATGGCTTATAGGAAAGCACTGAATCCTGCTGTCTATGCTCTCTCAAGGACCTTATGTACCTGAATCACCCAGCCTTCATGAGCCCCTATCCAGCAACCTCTGATGGTACCTCTCAGTAAACTTTCAGATATGACCAATGAGGTTCATTGTAGAGTGCCTAGCATAGAGGTATCTAGTAAAATAGGTATTGCCTAATACTAGTAATCAATCAGCAAATTGTAAAGCATTAGCCTCTGCCCATGCTTTGATTTCTTGGTTCAAGCTCCTGTCACTGAATGAATTTACATTGTGGTCACTAACAGGAAGGTAAGTAGATACATGCTAAGTCTTCAACATACTTATCTAGGACTTAATAAGTGGCTTTCTGATCTCTACTGGGAAGCATTTCTTCTGTAACCTCTCATTGCCTTCATCAGCTTTGATGGCATTATCCTGCCTCCCCTTGTTCCATCCTCAGTCCAGCCTCATATGAAGTCTAAAGTGCAGATCGATGCTAGGGTACTCAGGAGAATTCTGTCTACTTTGAAGAGGGCTACAGCAACCTAACCAGAGACATCACAAGGATGAGGGGGTAAGGATAAGTAAGTAGATCTACTAGTACCCTGTTCCTTGACTCCCAGTGCTCTGAGATGGATGATGAGTAGCCTTCCATCCCAGTATCCCTATACATACAGGTCCCTTTTCTCTACCAGGTATCCAGATCTTCCTCGAATCAAGGCCCAAATCAAATATCCTCTCCTCCATAGAGCCTTCCTTGGCTTTACCAAGTTCTAAGTTGTCCTTTCAGATCCATTAGCCCTTTCTGTTCTGTTACTGCTCTGATGCCTTAATTACTTAAACTCACGCCTAGCAGAAATAATGACTATTTCCTCTCTGCTCTCAGCCTTTCTTAGAAGGGAATGGGGAAGGAAGGTAGGATGGAGAGAAAGCAAATGAGAATATGGATGCACCTAAAAGAGACAACGACTTTCAGTGCCAACTCTTCTGCTTCTTACTTTTCATTTTTACAGCATGTCTGATTCCTCACGGGATCCCTGCCACCCTTTTTCAGTCGAGCTAATTCGAGTGGGATTTTATTCTTTATAAACCACAATACCTGAACAAGATACCAGTTGTTCACACATCCATATCTTATCCCCTCTGAATGTTCTGTGATCACGACAGTACTTTTTGCATGCCACACATCTTTTGCTTATTTTTTCTTTCACTTGTCACCTAATAGCACAAAGATTGTGTTGGTCACTATGCCCAGCTTTTAGAAATGCCTGACACTAGGATACCCTCCATAAATACCTGTGGAATAAATGAATGGAAACAGTTAGGTTTTTGCTAATGAGTTGAGGGAGAATGTCTTTGACATGGGGGCAAAAAGCCATAGAGCTCATTGTATGTGTTATAAAAGAAAGGATTTGGCTCAGGACATTTATGGCCCTCTTGATCTCTCAACATCCGAGGTCAGAAGTAGCCCTTTAGCTTGAAATGTGTTGTCCCAACAAGGGTAGGGAAAAAGAAGTTCATCTAACATTGCGGAATCGACACAAAATTTATTCCAAGACGGTTTACAAGTGTTCAGGCAGGCTTTCAAAGGTGTCATACTTATTTGTAGTGAGTGCTAGAAGGGGTGGGAGGGGATCGTAATCCATGCTATTCAGCCTGAAACTAACATAGACAGCATGTTCCAATTGAGACATTGCCAGCCTGGGCCTTTTTTAGGAGGGGGCAGGGTGCTCTGGGTCTACATTGCATCTTCTGAAGTCTATTGGATTTTTCCACAGTGTCATCATGTGTATCAGAGGAGGCCCACCTGAATATCACTGCCTCAACCAATTGGCAGGTGCACCATGTCTGTACCTTCCTTAGAGAATCAGACAGTAATGCCAGCCTCCTCCAGGAGACAAGGCAAAGGATCTCATATGGAGCTGGTGTGGCCTGACAGCTTTGCTGATCTGCTGTCGAGGGTTATGCTTGATAAGTTCAGTGCTGCTTAGAAGTTAGTCATGGAGTCTGTCTCAGAGGCAGCCATGACCGTGCATTTTGACAAGTATTCGAGGTCTGAGTGGGCAGGAGTGGCTGTATGAGTCATGACAATTCGGTCTGTGGCACCAGCATCAGCTACTACGGTACTCTGGCTGCTTTTAAGATACTGACAGATCCCTGTGGCAGGACAGGTGTGGACAGGCAAGACCCTAAGCCCAAAATGTGCTCTAGATAGAGGCCTGGCCATCTAGCTTTTCCTCAGGGTTCCACGAGGGTTTAATAGATGCTGTGAGAGAGGAAAGCATTTCAAGTTGAAGTAAGTTTGAGCTTTGTGGTTGTGTTAAATCAGTTGTTTTCTTGTAGGATTACTCAGAGCCTAATATGCTAATGTATACTGTGAACGTCTGAGAGAAAGTGCTCAGCATATCTTAGTCCATTTTCCTCAGATCCTCTCCCTCCCATGAGTCATGTTCCCTAGAAATGCTTCATATAAACACTAAAAGTCTATCATTTTGTATGTGTGTGTATGCATATTCCTGTTCCAGGCTACATAGTACCTCTGAATGCTACTGCTGAGCCCATGGAGTTTGGGAGGCAGAGGTGTCCACTGAAGATGTTCTACCCCCAGGTAGATGGGCCTGTATCAATCCACACTCAAGACATAGCTAGTGGTGTCACATGCTCTGGTCTCTGTTCAACCCTCCTTCCTCTAACCATGCTAAGTAAGTTCAGGTGCTAGAAAAATTCTGGGTCACTTCGCATGAAGATCCTTCAGTTCAACCCTGCTCTTCCAACTTGATTTCTATGTGACCTAGGATCATTTCCCCAACTCTCCCCACCTATAGGTCAGAAAACCCTTCCAAGTAGTGCCAAGCATAGTTCAGCTGTACGTTCCTCCTCAGGGTATTGCAGCCCACTGAGAAAAGGCTCCATTGGCTGGTCTTTTTCCTTAGATGAAAGCTCTCTAAAGACAAACCATCTTTCACATTTAGTCCAGCTTATGAAGGACTCAATAAACTGTCAATAAATCAATACTATGTCAGTGTATGGACAGGTTATGGCTGCCACCCTGTTCATAAGGCCCAGGCTCTGGCAAAAGAAATGATCTACGCCCCTCCTACCCAATCTGCTTTTACGGTCTGAGGAGACAGAGGAGACTGCAGGATTTATTCTATGTGCAACATCTA